AAAGGAGGTTCAACGATGAACAATATTCACAACCCAACAAATAAGAGAATGCGCAAAATCATACTGGATGCTTCCATGATGGAGTTGCTTGTGCAGGAGGTCTCCACATACCGATACAATAGTTGCTTGTTCACATATTAAATGCACTTAAAATTCATCACCATAGCCTTCCTCCTCTCCTTCACCCTCAGCGGTCTCAATGCCAACCTCTTCATAATCCTTCTCTAGAGCAGCAAGATCCTCACGAGCCTCAGAGAACTCACCCTCCTCCATACCCTCGCCAACATACCAGTGGACGAAGGCACGCTTGGCGTACATCAAATCGAATTTGTGGTCAATGCGGGAGAAGACCTCAGCAACGGCGGTGGAGTTGGAGATCATGCACACGGCGCGCATAACCTTAGCGAGGTCACCACCTGGGACGACCGTGGGAGGCTGGTAGTTGATACCACACTTGAAACCAGTAGGGGACCAGTCAACGAACTGGATAGTCCTCTTAGTCTTAATGGTAGCAACTGCGGCGTTAACGTCCTTAGGTACAACGTCACCACGGTACATCATACAGCAGGCCATATACTTACCATGACGAGGGTCGCACTTGACCATCATGGAAGCGGGCTCGAAGACGGAGTTGGTAATCTCGGCGACAGAGAGCTGTTCATGATAGGCCTTCTCGGCAGAGATGACCGGAGCATATGACGTGAGCATGAAATGGATACGAGGGTAGGGCACCAAGTTGGTCTGGAACTCCGTAACATCCACGTTAAGGGCACCGTCGAAACGGAGAGAGGCGGTGAGGGAGCTGATGCACTGAGCAATCAGACGGTTGAGGTTGGTGTAGGTGGGCCTCTCAATATCGAGATTTCGACGGCAGATATCATAAAGAGCCTCGTTATCCATCTGGCAAGTGACATCAGTGTGCTCGAGGAGAGAGTGGACGCACAACACTGTGTTGTAAGGCTCTACCACGGCAGTGGAGACCTGAGGGCAGGGCCAGATAGTGAAGGAGAGCTTCGACTTCTTGCCGTAGTCGACACTGAGGCGCTCAAGAATGAGGCAGCCCAAGCCAGAACCGGTACCACCACCACAAGCGTTGAACACGAGGAAGCCCTGCAGACCAGTACAATTATCAGCAAGCTTGCGGATACGGTCAAGACAGAGATCGACGATCTCCTTACCAA